AGAGCTCACAAGAAGTGTAGAACTGCGATCCGAGGGTCAGCGAAACATTTGATCTTACAACTATAAATTGTTTGTGAATAGTAAACCCATAATCTAACGAGCTGATAATTTCTGTGCACAGTACTTAATTCGACTGCTCCTAGTTGTCCTCTTGGCAAGGAGCGACATATTGGTGGCCAATCGGGAATCCCATAAGCTTGTGGTACTTATTTCCGTGTGGAGATGAGTTGAAGTTACTACATCGATGGCGTTTGCACCGAGGGTAAATCCAGGCGAGTGCACAAACAGAAGGAAGAAAGTAATTACATAGATTATCCGGTATTGACGGCGGAAGCAAGGCACAAACCCTTGCTCCTCGCAGCTGTTTATCTCCCATGGGGGCTTAACCAAGGTGTTCGAGCTGTGGCAGGTATAGGGGTGAGCTTGCACAAGCTACAAAGCTACAAAACGGCAGCTGCCCACCGCAACTACCAATCTACAGCGAGTACAGCATATATTGAACCTGCTACTTATTGAAGCTCATTAAACACAGATTTGAATTCAAATGTAATTGAGCACACATTTTGTATATCGAAACGTATCATCAATTAGGCTCTAAATGAATCCGTGACCGTATCAGAATCTGTCTATTATGACTCACTGCAGTGCCTCCACACTGTTTTTTTTGTGTACGCTACCCGTATCTCTGCTGAAGAAGAATTCATCGGGTTGTTCATTGGATCGTCCCGCTGTTCACTTTGGATATAATAATGGATGGAATTCGGTAGGAGCCACATGCTGGCCACATGAGAAGGAAGGAAGGAATAAACCGGCGCGGTCCCGTCAGCGCTAAACCTTTTCAGTTGTCAAATGGAAACCAATTCAGCTGCGCCTCAACCTCTTGTTCGTTACTAATGTCTCCTCAACAATGATAAGGGCACCCTCAGACCAGCTCCGTTTTGAGGCCACCAAAATTCTTGCAAGACTCGCACTTATTATCGAGTTTCGACCTTGGATTAACCCTGATTATCGACAAGAACCCCCGTACAGAACTTTGTACGAATGCTTCTCACTTGGCAGGCCCCTCGGCGTACTGCTTGACCTGCTTGGATCCCCTGCGCCCAGTCATTTCAGCGTGCATATTGAAGATTTCGATTTTGACCTGTCGCTACCGGAGCGAGAGCAGTTCATTCAAAACTTCATTCAGCGCATCCAGCTGCTTGAAGCTCAAGGGAGAATCTCGTACGGAGAAGTTCTACGTGTGGAGGATGTATTAAATGGCACCAGCTCTGGCTTCATGAAAGTGTGTTGAAAGTACTCTATTTCTCCATTCGATGTACTGAGCGTCTTTTTTTTCTAAAGGTCCTTAAGACTGTCACCCGTATACTCTGTGCGCTGCAGGACTCTTATCCGGGCCTATTCGTTCTACCGGAGGATGCTGAGCTTAAAGTTATTGCGGCGATACAAGAGCTCGTGGAAAGTGAACGTATTCATGTCGAGTTTCTTCGTATGGTCGTTGTAAGTGGTATATTTCGTTTGTTTCCTGCTGTTGACTAAGATTCGATTCAGGACCATGCTGCCTTCCTCTCTTTATCAACGCCCATAGAAGCTGCGCTTGAATCCATAGTTATCAACAACCAACGGCTGCAACAATATCACGACCGTGTACTCAGTTCTTTTCAACAAATCGAGTTGGACGCCTCCCTTATTCAAAACTGGGAAACGATTTTTGCTTTTGATGACCACTCTGTCCGGAACAACATGGCATCCACCTATCGCTCGCTTTGTACTAGTTATGTATCTCTGTATGAATATTTTGATAGGATCATAAGTACGCTTGAGGTAAGGTGGTTCATCTTCAATTCGCCCTCTATCTAATTCTCGCGCTGTAGCCGGTTATCGCTGCGCACTCCCAGATGCTCCTCGACGTTCTTTGCTACATTCCCTCTCGAATAGAGAGCTACTCTGACCAACTACAGGTAAGTACAGTATTTACGATCGGTTCCTCTTATATCTTCTTTCGCAGACTATCCTTTCCTTAACCCTCCCAACCCCTGCTCATCAGTCATATTATGACTCTCTCTGTAATACTATACTGAAAATGCGCGATATTTCCTCCGGAATAGACGAAATGAGCTCAGAGGTGCGCACTCTTCGTGCCGTGAGGATACTCAAAGGTCGCGCGTTCCGCTGGCGCTCAGCTAGTGGCGGTAGTATTGACCCCTCTGATATGGGGAGATTGATACTAGATGACCAGCTGCAGCTCGAAGATACGGAAACAACATCAGGATCATCATTGTACCAAATATTTTTATTCGAAGCCATGCTTCTATGCTGTCTTGATGGGTCCAATCAGACAAACAACTGGGACGACGAAGGATGGATGAGTTCTGCGCGGTATCCTATCAGAGCTTGGGAGCTTGGACCTGCTTTGAAGAGGGCCGCACCTTTGAACCTAGTGTATGCAATTCCCACCAACGAATTGCAAGAGCTGCGGCTCTTTGGTTCTGGTTGGTGAAATGATGCACGTTCTCATTCATACCGCTGATTCGCTTTTGTTAGATGAATTCGAATTGGAATGGAACCGAAACCCAAACTTAAATCAGGGACGCAGACAATCCTCCATGACTCTGTCATTCACATGCCCTTTTGGCGAGGACCAATATAACCAATGGTGTTCAGTGCTGGAAAGATTCGTCCATTCAGTCATTGATTGCCCAATCTTTAGTTCGACGAGTCCTCACGTTGGATATGAGGTAGGCGAGGATGAAGGTCATGCAGATGCAGATATAGAGAGCCTGGTGCTATCAGAAGACTCTCCAAATGAAGATTTGGATTTTGTCAAGATGAACTTTGGATTGACATCGACAGACGGTCGACGTCATTCTCACCCTCGACCATGGAGTCTCATTGCCAGAAAAGGACCTCATTCCGAATCATCATCCCTCCATCAGCAAATGCTTGAAGAAGATGAGCAGGAGGTAGAAGATGTGCTCAGTCCGAACATGCTTCCGACCCTTTTCACTCCCCTAGTGCTGGAAGCAAAAGTTCTATCCCTCCGTTGAGCCCGAATGCTCTCGGTGGAATAGGGGATGTTGTAGGATTCTCATCCATTGTGATGCCCCCACCCCTCCCCCTGAAGAAGATATCGGTCAGTCCTATCCACTTTCCATATACTGCCGCCAAGGCTGATATCAAACTTCAATAGTGTTTGAAATCAACGATTCGGAACGAGTATTGGATTTTACTGGACAAATAACGTTGATTGGAGGATGTGCTGTGGCGGGAGGCGGATACTCTGATGTGTGGAGGGCAATTCTGAATACTCGTAAAGATGGACGAGGGCAAGAGGTCAAGGTACGGTACTTGTTACTTTCTCGGTACCATTCCGATGAGATTTCGTTCGTCTTAGGTCGCAGTCAAGGTGATTCGATCTCACTATGGGGATGCCGAAAGCGAAACTATACTCAAGCGGGTGAGACATCATTGTTCGATATTATACTGAGTCTGACTAGTTTTTATTTACAGAGACTCGCCCGAGAAATGGATGTGTGGAAACAGCTCAAACATCCAAACATACTTCCGCTTTACGGTACCACCTCCGGCTTCGGGCCCTATGACTCCCTCGTATGCCCATGGATGGAAAATGGGAGTGCAAGTCGATATATGGAGAAGTGGGGTGATATCATGTCTATGACGGATCGATTACAACTGGTGAGTGGGAACCTCACTACTTTAATCTTTACCAACACCTGCACGTAGCTCTGTGAAGTCGCAGAAGGTTTAAGATATCGTGAGTGCAATGGGTATCTGTGTGCGGTTTGCGGTTCTTAACCAGATGTACAGTCCATTCTCATGGAATCGTGCATGGCGATCTGACTGGCGTACGTCCTTACATAGTTCCCTTACTTCAGGCGTGCCTCTTACATCTCCGTGTGTCTTTAGTCCAACATCCTCATTGACGACAACCGGCAAGCATGCTTATGTGACTTCGGACTCTCTAACATCATCAGTGAAGTTCATGGTGCATTTTCGAATCACTCGACAATGAGCGGAGCAATACGTTGGGCTGACGCCACACTGTTTATCACTCAAACCACCCAAATGGAATCCGAATCTGACGAACAAGTGTATCCAGTACTTACCAATAAAAGCGACATCTATTCTTTCGGAAGTGTAACTTTGGAGGTATGTAGGAGCACGCTTTCTCGCGATATACACATCATCAAACTATTCTTAGATTCTTTCGGGTCGCATACCATACCATTACATCCGCAATGATGCTCAAGTCATCTTTGAGATGGCTAAAGGTAGAAAACCTCGTCGTCCAACTGCGTCTTTTGTCACAGATGCGCAATGGGATTTCATTTTTTCGAGATGTTGGTGCGAAGATCCTATTCTGCGACCAGATGCAGAGGAAGTAGTAAGAATAATCCAGGTGCTGCTGCGGAGTAGTCTAGAGTTCCGCCGGCATACAGGCAGTGCGTGGGACAGTAGCCCGGTGGACAAAACAGAGGAGGCCTTGTCACTAGACAAGCATCTGGATGTCGTCGTAAACTCACATCGTAGGCATAGTGAACCTCTACAGAATGGATAATATGTTCCATCTAGACCCAGGCCTGCGAAGTTGCGTTAATAACTTCAAATAGAGTATATTGACCTATACACAACAAGCTTCGAAGTACAGCTCCAGGTTGAATGTTGATGTGTTTCTCGTGATGATAACGCACCCGGCTTGTTTTTTTTTTTTTGCTTCCTTACCTACTTACGAGCCTTATCATAATGAGACAGTGATAAGATAAAAATTCTCAGCGCTTAATCGTCTATTCTGGACATGCGTGTGGCACGAGGAGCACTCCTTGCAATGTCTGGAGATGTCTGGCTGCTTGGATAGATCATGAAACATCAATATACTGGAATTGTGTGCTTGAGGCTATGTCAGGTATCTCTCCGGACTGGCCGCAACCGCGGGATAGGGTCGGCTGAACTCACATATTCAGATTGCACTGTTTCATAGCGAAGTCCCTGTCGATTAGTGGTCAAATCATCACGTTGTGGAGCTGATATATCTTCTCCGTGAAGCCGGGAGCTCGAATCTCCCCAGGGACATTTTTTTTCTTGTTTTAGGATAGCTAGTGCATTTCTACTGTCCCGAGACCGTTATACTGCAATATGGTTGGCCTAGCACAATCAGCTGTGGATGTCCGCTACACGTTTTATTGCACAATCCTAATCTTGTAGATCTGTTTGTCTTGAGACAGTGCGATGAGCCGACTCAACAGGATGAGAAAAGTACAAGTTGAACCACGATTCATCCCAGGTCTCCGAGAACTTCGTACACACAGAATAAGTATCATGTTATGGATTGACCTTCACGATGTGCTCAATTAAACTGTTAAGAATACGGGACGGTCGACCCTCAGGACTCTGAGGAGGAACCTTTAGTGGTTCACAAGACGTAGTAAATAAGCATGGGGTATATATGAGCGACTTGGATTAAGGACGAGTCCATCCCACTTCTCGATTCAGCATAAGATTCATGGAAGCTTTAGAGTGTTTGCTAACGCCATCCTTCCACCGTTCTACTAGCTTATTGCTTCGCGCCCCGCATACTAGTTCGCCCAAGGTTCGAATGAAGAAACTGAGGAGAAGAAAGCTACATGAAGCATCTTGAGCAGCAATTGTTTGAGGCATCTTATGAGATGGTACGTTTGACGATATATACTTACAAATGCAGGGGTTTGGTGGGGAAGGAAGGAGGAGGGAGAAGTCACATTGTATAGCTTTGCCAGCTCGTTCTGAGGTATGCGAAGTAAATGACCGAAGAGGAATTTGTCTCTGATCAAGTGTTAGATGCAAAGGCCCGTTTCAGCAGACAAACCCAACTCATTCTGCAGTACTTGACTTTGAGTTAACACTCGTCCAGTACTTAAGCTCGGGTTTTCTTTGAAGGGATCGACATAGAACTGCTCGCACAGTGGGCGTATTCCATATTAAAGATGAATGAAAAGGGTGTCACATAAGAATCGCTTGCGTGAGTTTTGTTGGTTGTCTGTTTAGATAAACCCCGTTGATGTTATCGTGTTATTGGATTTGTGATAGGTCCAAGGATTAGGGTTGGGTACGCTTTCGAGCGGCGGTGGTGAGTCGGTGATATACGCTCCCTAGATTAGCTTGGTTGATTGAGCACTTGCAAAGCTGAAGATGACACACCATTCACTACGATAACCACCAAAGCTTCGAGCCCATCAAAAGTGAGAGCGCTCAGCATTCGCGTAGCTATCCGTCAACGCGCAGATCTGAGATACGCGGTTTTAGTCCAGAGTTTTATTGCCATTTGAGAATGAGCGCCCATTGTGGAAGCGCTAGTAGTAGTGGATTCATGAATTTTCGAATTGTTTTCCGAAACTCCACCACTCTGGAATTGAACCGAATTCTATACATCGACAGAGCATTCGTCGTGGTCAACAAACCTGCGAATTTTGTGACACAATACCCGAAGGATGGTCAGACGGAGGCAGTCGCTGAGCTTGAGGGTACAAGTAAGCAATGATTTTTGCTTCAGTGTATTTATTAACTTTTGACATGCCTCTCAGTCCCCTCTGCCCCCTCTTTGACCAAGCTTTATCCAGTACATCGTCTTGACAAGGTACTTGCTTGATTGGAAAAACTGGATCTCATAGGTGTTTAAATCTTCTCCGAAGGGAACTACAGGCTGCTTGGTCTTCGCGCGTTCTCTTGCTCATGCACAAGCTTTTTCTCAACAATTTCATCAACGGACCGTGCAAAAGATCTATCATGCCTTGGTCGATACATCCAGCAGTCGATCTTTGGCCACTGGAGTGACTTCTGGGGTTATTCGTGTCGGAATGGCGCTGAAGAATGGCAGGCCGTATTTATCTCGGTCTGAAGCCGCGCGAGAAACGTCAACCGACTGGCAGATCATCGGTTCGAACGTGAGTTTGTGTATGCTCGGTGGTTGCTCTAATCACAGGTCCAAATTGCAGCTTCAAGCTCATGCATCGCTTATGAAGCTACATCTACACACGGGTATGAAGCATCAGCTTCGTGTTCATATGTCAGAGGCACTACAAGGTGCGAGGATCACGAATGCTCGTTGTTTGTTTCATTTTTGATCTTACTTAAATGCAGCCCCCATTATTGGTGACTGGCAACATTCACTTTCAAGATCATCCCCTCAAAAACTATCAATACCGAACGATCGCATGTTCTTGCATGCCTCTGAAATATCTTTTCATGTGAGTGGTCTTTGCCATTTATCAAGTAAATTAATTGATGTTTAGCTCTGACTCCACAGCGCTTTAGAAGGGCAGGAAAGCACAAACGACTAAACCTGACATTGCGCGCCCCGCTTCCTCAGGATTTTACAGAGTTTTGTATTCGCGCGGGAATACAAGCACCTTTGTGCTTGTTACGCGGAGGGCTGTTCGTTGATGGCCAACCTGTCGAAGAGGTTGCAGACTTAGCTGGTTTTTGGATTGCGAATGCGGAGTAGTTTAAACTTCAAACAGCCACCTTGACGGGCATTTTCTCGGCGTGGAGTTGGCTCTTGATTGTGGCGTGTTGCTGTATACATGTTAACTTGATGGGTAACACTGGCCCCACAAATACATAAGTACTTAAATGTGAGCACCACCTATATCCATCTCCAATTTTTCACCCTCTTTCGTTCGCGACTGTGTGTTTCCATCCACAATGAGATTCACCAAAGCTATTTTCGTTAGTTCTGTCCTTTTGAGCCCTGCTGTCCTTGCCCAGGATGGCTCGGTTACCGTTATTGATGGGTGAGTTGTAATGTCTTTCTCCATGTTGTCTTTTACTCAAAATTTACCCTCAGCGTCACAATCACTATCCCTGCGGGTCTTTCTATCCCAACCGACCTTCCTATCCCAACCGGCCTTCTCTCCGATACCAGCCTTCTACAATCTGAGTCGGCCCTTATCAACTCTATCCTTTCGTCTGCGACCGCGACGTTGACTGGTTCTGAAGCTGCTGAAGCTTCCTCACTTGGTTCTATCCTTAGCGGAATCACTGGCGGTAGTGCTAGCGCCACAACTACGGGCTCAGGAAGCAGTGCGACTGGGACAAGTGGCTCGAATAATACCAACGGAGCAATGAGTTTGGGAGGAAGCTCGGTAGGCTTGATTGTATCGGTCGGCGCAGCCTTGTTTGCTGGCGTATGGATGTTGTAGATCGGAGGACCCATTATCATTCGGATGAGCTTGCTCTCCATCCGCTCACTGGCGATATTTATCTCGCGGTTTATACCTTATACACATGATACTATTGCTGTTACCACTTGTATCTAAATTTAAATGGCCAATCAAATTACCTGTAGCTGGTTGGTTCTAGAAAGTCGCTTGGTCTGTGAAAGAGCCCGAAGTCTTCGTAAGACTCTGTGTTTTGACTCCTCAAGGCCTTACCCTTCGAGTTCTCTTCTGAAAAGTATCCTGGCGGTCGGTCCTCCCGCGTTATTTTCCAGAGTTGACTGACGCCCACCTAACGGCAGTAGTACTAACTCATCAAGCGCACAACCGTGTGTATTGTCGGTACATAGCGAAAGGTACCTTACAAGCTTTGAAAGTTGGAGTGAAAGTTGGTCCAACGGCTATCCGAAACAATTTCGACATTGATAGATCTGTTCTCGAAGGAAAACAATGGTGAGATGGCCGAGCGGTCTAAGGCGCTAGAATCAGGTCTTGTATCTGAACTATCTAGTCATTCGTGGCGTGGGTTCGAATCCCACTCTCATCAGAATGGGTATCGAGTTTAACATGTTTTTCAAGTATTTTAATATCGCGGAGCGATAGAGTAAAATTTCGCTAGTAACAAGATAACTGCAGAGTAAACCCTAACAGGTATTCTGTGAATCCAGGCCGATTTTTTTTATCAACAGCTATGAGAGGTTTGGTGTTCGGTGCTTCAAGCTACCAGATTTTTATGAGGATTTTCTGCATAGCCAACACAGATTATTGAATTTCTATCCAAGTCTAGTACGACGAGCTTCTTCTTGAGCAGTCTTTAATGTCAACTTCACATCCTCAACCATGCCTACGTTTTCACCCCTCCTTGCTCACGCCAGCGTATTTACAAAGAATAGTAGTATCTGTAAGTATATACAATATACAATAGTCGCAGTCAATCAAACATAAAGTAAAGTAGGGGAAAAAAGGATAGTAGTATAGCTTAACACCATATGCCGTTCATTCTGTTCTACTCCTCATCCTCGTCGTCGCCATCATTATTGTCCTGCAAATTAGAGGGACCCGCAGTGTTCCCAGTGTTGTTATTGTTCTTCGTCATACCAAACAACTATAATTCGAACCTGTTAACGATGGTCATAGATCAAACAATACCGAAACGCACAAATTTAATGTCTTTCATACTGAGCTTGTTCAATTTTGTACCGGTGCCTTCTCCTAGAGCAGCTTCCGCAAGACCTTGGGGAAAACAGTCAGCGCTCTGAATCACGACCACAGATATACGCACCAGTTTTTACGTCTTGTAGCTGAAGTAACCGTTCCTCGATTGTGTTTCTCACTACTAGCCGTTTCACAAACACTTCTTTATCTTGTCCGATCTATTGAATGACGGTCAGTGGAAGGAATTTCAGGTACACGTATGTCCTCACACGATGAGCACGGTCGTAGGCCTGGGACTCAGCTGCGTAGTTCCAAGCTAGGTCCATACTGAACAATGAATCAGCGAGAGTGATAGAAAATATGGATAAGTTCTCTTACTTGACAATTCGGTTTGCAGCAACCAAGTTCAATCTTTGCGGAAGGATAAACTTTATTCGTTGACATAAAATGTCAACAAGTGCTTACCCTACACCACCGCACTTGGTACTGATCAGGATAACTTTCGGTCCATCAGCTTTCCGGAATTGCACCAGCGTACGATCTCTTGAGGTGCGGTCCATTTTACCGTCAAAGCGCAAGCTGCGAATGCCGTGCCGCGAAAACAAGACCTCGATAAGGTCGAGCATGGATGTCCCTGTAAAAATTTAGTCATAGCTTTCACCGGTTACCAAGACATTTACACTGGGAGTAGCAGATCGTCTTATCGCCCAATGCTTCCCATTCCTTGATATACTCGATTAACTGCACCATCTTGATGCTGGGCTCCATGTCATCGTCTCCCTTGGACCACGTCGCCACGAGTGCTTTGGAGAGACCACTTTCCTCCGATTTCTCGTCCTTTTTCTCTTTTCCCTTGTCCTTGACCTCTTTCTTGCCTTGAGGCGATTTGCGCTTATTCGTGTTAGATCGGCCGGGTTTGCTAGGGCTCGAGAAGACGGACGGTGAGATATCATCCATGGTAAGGTCAATGACATCATCGTCGTCCTGTAAAGAAAAACATTGATCGACAATAGAAAAAAGAAGGTTGAAAAACTCACGGTTTCCATCTTATCCTCGAGCTTTTGCTTCTTTAATGGACGCAGGATATCAGCCAGATCAGGAAGATCATCGTCCGAATCGTCAAGACCTTTCATCTCGAATGCCTTTTGAGCATTGGAAGAATATCGATCATCAGTGTCACTCTCTTCTTCCGAAGAGCCATAAGCAACCGCCTTCTTGAACCTCGGTAGAGAGCGCGAGGAAGATGACGAGTTTTTACTTCGACGACGGCGACGTTCGGAATCGGCATATTTGCTGAGCTCTTCATCGGTCGGTTCAAAGGCAGCAGATTTGAAGATCTTTTCCGGACCCATGTCAAGAATGGCATGGCAAGTAGGGCCTGAGAACGGACGAATTAACACATTATATCAGTCAACAGTGAACAAGCACGGCTTACATTTTCGATATCCTTTAGCGTTCGCCTCCTCGAACTTTTTCTCAGCTTCCAGGTTCTCCTTTTCAGTTCCTTCGACGCTGTAAGGTTCCTGATCAACAAAATATTTGAACTTTAAGAAACAACCTACAAAATTCCATCGTGTTGCATAGGACCGTTTCGAGTGTCTAAGATACAATCTATTGAACACACACTCAGTGGATAGATATGAAATTCATGGTCGAACACTTCACCGAAACAGACTTCATGTCCGCAAGTGAGGACCCTTCCATTCTCAGGAGTGAACACTGAACATTCCGGTCAGCTTTACACATAAAAAATAGAGAAAGAGAAAACTTACTATCTGAGCAAACTGGGCACGAGGCGGTGTCGCCGGCCTCGTCATCATAGTCCAAAAGCTCATTCGCTCGTGCACGGATCAGGAACCTTTACATTGATGAGTATATTCACAGATTTAGCGTGGATATAAGCGTACTGATGCAGGATCTAAGCAAAGTGTGACCAATGAGCGTCATTCAACACAAAAGCTCAATGGCACACTTACACCCTCGACCCAAGGTCTACCCTTGACTTTAATGGCACGAGCTCTTTCTTTCTCCACCTCACCGCCCATTAGAGCCGTAGGGTCGTTGTACTTATCCGTTTGAGACAGGATAAGATAAGGGTGACAACAGAGCTGTCGGAGCCGCAAAATCATGACCTTGAATCTCAACAGTAATCCATTAAATGTAAAGCGAACAGAAGGTAAACTCACAAGCACATAGGAGTGGCTGAGTGGAAAAGACATCAGCAAACTTAACGCTACGTTACAAAAATGGTTTTCACTTCTTCACGAGCGTCCGCTCCCTGATAAACTTGTTCAGTCGAATTTTGGATTGTTTCTCAAACGAATCGTAGCACTAACAGTGAGTAAGTGACCCAGTATGTGTTTGTGAAAATTACAACAACTTGCCTCTCTCTCATCGACAGTGAAGTCCAACTTTACCAACGAGATTTCCTTGTTAGGCAATTTCAGAATAGGTTCGCCTTCCAAAGTCGAATGCTTGGTACGTCGCAGGAGAAGAGGGGCGAGAATAGTTTGAGCTCGCTGACCTAGAAAATGATATGAGAATATGCGAGCTGAGTTGAGTTTTTTGTAATTCTTACCGGCAAGAGGAGGGTCATCAGTCTGCATCTTAGCCTGCGACATCGTTAGTGTCAAGCAAAGTAACGGATACATAAAGATCACTTACAACGTACTATCAGATACGCACGAAGAAAGAGAATAGGATGGTAGATCCAAAAGAAGAACCAATAAGTAAAGAATATGTAGTCAGGGATGGTTAACGTGCGTACAGCATTGAAATCGTTCCAATCGTTCCAAGGTCTGAAGTGACCAAACCTAAGGAGACCGTAGATGTCCGCACTGAAGTAGCGCATGAATACAGATAGGCAGCCAGGAGAACAGCATACAGAGTATTGGTTACAGGAGTTCCAGTCAACATCCATCTATATGTCGCCTTAACATGAGCCAGACTGAGACTTGACCGAGTTCCACTGTTACAATGGGTTAGCTATATTCACTTGTCTAAGGTGGACGCTCCATAAATGTAAGTATCATGTCTTACCGATTTCGGATAAACTGTGCTTCATCAGCCACTGCGCGGAAAAACTTTGTGCGTGCAAGAACACCTCTGGTACCAAAAATGAGGCGAGCAAGGGAAACATAGTTTTAAAGCAAACTTGCCCGTTTTTCGCAAGCCAATCTGCTTCTTCTTCGGGCTCTATGTCTTTGGGAATGTTGAAATCTCCGTTAAGAGTTTGATAAGTTGTGATGATGACCTTCACAATAGAGGTGAACAAAGCAGCTATAGAAGCTCGCAGAAAACCCACATCATAATTCTTGATGTCGGAACGTTTCTGATCGCTGGCGTTAGAATTGAACAAGAACAAGATACAAACGCATATACTTTGAGCTTATCTTTACCATGATGAACATGAACAGTCATGATATCATTTGTCTTTGACTCAATTTCTTCTTTCCACTGGCCAAACATGTCAGAAGTTATCGCAAATGAGCAGATGTAAATCAACCTGCTGTAAAAGGGCAGCCGGTACAACGATCAAATTTGTGGTGGGTACATCTTCATCGTCTAATGACGGTTGGTTCACAGCCATAGTGGCTATCATTTGTACGGTCTTGCCCAAACCCATGTCGTCACTGACAAGAACTTTCTGAGCCCAGGTTCTCAGAGACTTTAGATCACTTACGCCAAGATACCACCCTGTCTTTACTTTTCTCTCGCTCCAGCATCCTATCACACAATCGAGTCAGTTTCAGGAGCCCGAGAAACCTCTTATTGCGTACCAAGAGACACCGATGAGCTGATGGGGAAGGAGACGTACGTTCATGCCCGGAAGGATGTCGTTGGCACTTTAATGCGTTAATGAACAAGTGAAGAAAAAGATAAGCGCGGTCAACACACTCTTCGAGCCCCAACTTCTCCACAGCAGTCTTGACTGTTAATCCGTGGCTCACGTTGTTGATTGACTGAGTAACAAACTCGGCCATACTGTAAGATAGTTTTAAGCAACATGTTAACTTGTGAGTGAGCCTGGTTTACCGTAGCTGTTGATCAGGTCCTCCTACACAGTTTTAAATTCGAAGAGAGATCAACGTCGTGCATAGAAGCCCACCAATATCAACAGCTCTAACAGGAGTTTGGCTGTCATAATTGAGTCCAAATCCACCGCCTCCGGCCACCCTTGGTGTTCCGGAAGGTGTAGCAGCACCCAAAACGAACTGCGCGTCGCTACCTAAATATACAGTCTGAATAAGTTCAAAGAAAACAGACAGTCGCCACGAACCTGCTTGCACGAGACCCATCATGTTATTTTTCACTTGGGTCATTCGAGCCTCCAAGATCCCCAATTTGTCTAGATTTTGCGAAGGTGTGGAAGGCTCGCCTGCATTTGGTGAG